CCCCTACAGCTGTCAGTGGGTTAGAGGGATCCCCCAGCTGTCAGGGGTTAGAGGGACCCCCCCATGGCTGTCAGGGGTTAGAGGGATCCCCTACAGCTGTCAGGGGTTAGAGGGATCCCCACCCCCACGGCTGTCAGTGGGTTAGAGGGATCCCCTACAGCTGTCAGGGGTTAGAAGGACCCCCACGGCTGTCAGCGGGGAGTCGAGACATGGACTATAATGCACTCTTAGCCCTTCTCATCTGTCTCCTGAGTTGGATTATAGGCATGGCTTCACCACCAGATCATGGAGCAATGCCCATCTACTCCACAGCAATGCAGAGAGAAAGCAGGTGTGCATACTTCAGTGTGGCTGATTCCTCTCCCCCAACCCCCCTCCAGCAGCAAGATGCTGGAGTCTGTGACTCAGCGAGAGCTCTCTCCTCCGTGACTTCCATCAGGCTGTCCTGACTCTCCACACAGCTCCCCACAGCCAGGAGAGGGCAGCCACGACTTTCCCTGTCCCAGACCCTGTCTCACATCCAAGGCCCAGCTGCTCCGTCAGACACTCCACCTGCACTCATTATTCACCCGAACCGTAACTTCCGTAGCCCTGTGCTGTCTGCTGGGAAGCCCTGTGCTGGGGCACCCTCCACCAACACATGGGGAGACTGAATTACCACCTCCCTTGCCTGACTGGCAGGTAACCCATCTCCATGAGCCTAAGGGCTCTCCAGCCAGCCACCCGGTGATAAGCACCCGGACAGTGAGTCAGCTGCTGCCGCCTTTCCTTCCTCGTCTCCGGTCTTTGTGCATTTCCTGGGTGAAATCCCAGAGGAACCTTAAGGTCCCCACATTAGACTCTGCCTGGGGTTGAACTCAGAGTCACAAGTACAGCGGGACCAGGAAGACTGTGCAGAGAGCGAAAGCTAAGTCACCAGGCTGTGTCCTGGGCAGGGCCGTGGTGTGACTGAGGCTTCCCAGAGCCCAAGGCAGGAAGGCAGAGGAGAGGCCTCTCCAGACAGGCCTCCCAGTGCCCTGCTGGGGTACAAGACCCCCAAGTGTGGGCTTCATGGCCCCCGGCTTCTATTTACATTGTCACAACCTCTGTGTGAGAGTTCAGGAGAGCGGTGAGATCACTCCAACCCCTTCACTTTGAGAGGCTGAGATGTTGGCGTGGGGTCCGTCGCCCAAGGGGAAGCAGAGCATTCCAGGGGCAGGCAGGATGAGCACAGACAGGAAAGCACAGGGCCCTCCTAAGATGGTGACACAGACAACTCCACGGCCACACACACACACACACGCTTGTGGGAGGGGTGGCCACACGACAGCTGGCAGGGCTGCAAACAGCACGTGTGAAACCCACTCAGAGCCAGGGCGTGGTTGGTGGCGCACACCTCTAACCTCAGCATTTAGAAGCGGAGGCGGAAGGATCCGTGCTCAAGGCCAGCCTGGGCTGCTTAGGGAGTAGGGGCCCAGCTCATGCAGCGGCCTCCGTGAGGTCTTGTCTCAGCAAAACAACACAACAACAACAAAAGCCCATTACTTGTTGTGTCCAGGCCGTCCACGCTCCTCCAGCTGGGCAGAGAAGACTCCTCCAGCAGGCGCTGCCCGCGGCCCCTGGGCAGCCTGGCAGCAGCCTCCACTGAACAGCTCTTCAGAGCATCCTCGGTAGCGAAGGAGAACGCAGACTGGGACCGCTGTGGACAAAGGGAGGCGTGAGCCTTCTGCTCGGGGGTGAACACAGGCCAGCAGGCAGGGACTGCCTGTCACAGTGAGCCTGTCTTCCTCACAGGCGCAGGAGCCACCGGGCAGCACAGGGGCGTTTACTTTGAGCTCCAGTGGGCACAGGAGGGAAAGGGCACTCCACCCCACCACAGACAGCACCCATGAAGACAGGAAACTCGGGCTCCTTGTGTCCCCCCCACCCCCCGCTGCGAAGCCCCACAGTCTCCCCTCCAGTGACAAATGCTCTTTGCCTTTCCCACCACAGAGCAAAGGAGACACAGCGTGTTCTCTCAGACATGTGTAAGTGGGCATGGCGTGGCCTGGAGCTGAACATGGGAGTCATTGTCCTGGGGCTGGAGTGTCATCTCTGCCACATTAGGCTGAGGAGACCCCATCAGAGAAGCGCCTGCGTCTGAGCATGACAGCCCCCGGAGCCCGCATAAAGCCAGCTGCGGCCAAGCGTGGTGTGTCCACCGTTCATCCCAGCACCAGAGGGCAGACCAGACTGGGGCTTGCTGGCCCGTGGCGAGCGGAAGACCTGGAAAGCACACTCAGCTGCAGATGACAGAATGCGCCCCTCGCTTCCGTGGAGAATAGCTCTGACCCACGGGCGTGCGGGGTCTGGGTGGGGGGCAGTGCGGGTGACTCACCCAGAGCGGGGCGCGTGCTCGGCCTTGGCGTCCCGGAGGGTCTTTGAACGCCTCATCCCGGGCTTCCATGCTGCTGCTCTGGGGCCGAGGCCATGCTGGCTCCTCTTCCTCCATCTGCGCCTCAGCTTTGCCCTTCTGCTTCCTTATAATCTGGGAAAGGGGGACGAGTCCTGGAGGGGTGGCCTTGGGGTGCCCCTAGCCACCCAGGGGCTCTGCTTGGACCCTTCCCATCTGCCTTGTGCCGGAATGACACACATGGCCTTGTGACCTGCGGCCACCCTTCCCATCTGCAAGGCCCTGGCTCTGGGAACCAACTGCTCTCACATGTCCCCCTCGCCAGCCACCGACAGGGCCGGCAAAGCGCTTGCCGAGCCAACATTAGCATCTGAGTTCGGTCCCCAGAACCCTCCCAAGGAAGCTGGGTACAGGCGTTTACAGTTGTGACCCCAGCACCAGGGCGGTGGACACAGAGGACCCCTGGGCTCCCCAGGCAGCCAAGCCAGCGCCAGCCGTGGGGCCCGGGCCCCAGAGAGAGCACAGATGAGAAGCAGGCTGGGTGGAGCCGGAAGGGGGATCCGAGGTGGACACACACGCTGTTTGCGGAGGGACGCTGCTTCTACCGCCCAGCACACGTCATGTCGTTTTCAGATCACTGTCAGTGCTGGTGTGCGGGTGTGCCGGTGTGGCCGGTGTGGCCGGTGTGCTCTTAGAGGCGGCTGGGATTACGGCGTGGGGAGCGGTAGGGAGGAGAAGGGTCTACACGCCAGGTAGAGGCATAGTCCTCCTGGGTGTAACCACGAGGCACGCAGCGAGGTGCCCGAGGATGTGCAGGGCAGGACTCAGGCTTTGGGGACGGAGGAAGGCAGCAGGCAGCGTGGCTAGCTCGCACGCTTTGTCCACGTGGACTCAGCCTGCTGCCTGCCATGGCTGGTTCAGGCTGCGCTGGACCCTTGTGGAACTCCACTTCCTCTCTGCTCTGGGTCGTGGGCTGAGCCCGCAGGAAGGCAGTGTGTGGCCACGGAGTGATGGCGCTGCCGTTCTGATTTCCACGGCTTCTCTGGGTAACCATCGCTCCGTACACACTCCATGCTGAGGGCTAAGACCAGCTTCTTCTCGGGGGTCCTGAGAAATGTGCACTGAGAAATGTGTTTGGTCCCCTTTGGACACACTCGGGAGAGCACGTGAGTCTCCCCCACATCCACCTCCGCGCTGCCTCCCCACGCCCCATGTCGTGGCTCTGAGTCTCTCTTCTCGGCCTCCTGGCCTCCCGCCAGATAACCAAGATGGCCCCGGGGACAGACAGACAATAACGTTTCTCTGTGCACGGTCTCATCTGGTCCTGTTTGGCTGCACAGCACACAGGCCCTGGGGCCTTGACCTGAGGAAGCACAGGGAAACCTGTGGAGCGCCAGGCCGGCCCCAGACCCCGCTTGCCATCAGCTGAGCTGGCACAGCCATGTGCAGTGAGGGGCCCACTGGGATGCTCTCTCTGGGCCCCTAAGAGAGGGGACAGCCGAGAAGACGGCCAAGCCACGGGATGAATTCCCCACCCGGCGGTGTTTGTTCACAGGTTTGTGTGTTCCCCAGTGTGTGGAGGCCAGAGTCAATCTGGGGCGCCTTCCTCAGTCTCCCCGCCCTTTTTTTTCAGACAGGCTCTCCTATTGAGCCTGGTTTTGCCAACTGGGCTAGACTGGCTAGCCAGGGAACCGCAGGGGTCCACACGCATGTCCCCGGATGAAAAGCACAACCACTCACTCAGCTTCCAGCCACCTGAGTGCCCTCCAGCTGGCAGCAGACTTTACAGAGCACGAGGAAAAGGGCAGCAAAGAATGCGGGTGCCCTCGAGGTGCAGAGGTGAGCCCAGCCAAGGCCCTGCTCCCATTGTCCGGGTGGGTACGGCTGCGTTTGCCCGCTTGCCTCAGGGACTGCTGAGGGCGGGGGCCAGGACTGTCCTCCCTGTCCTCGGGGGGGCTGTGCCATTTTCTCTGACACCCTGCACTGGGCTCCTGGCAAGCGCATCTGTCTGCCGAGGCCGCTGAAAACCTGCCCGAGGACTTCTCTATGCCCTTTGCCCCACAGGCGGCTGAGACCTCTGGCTGTGCTCAGGAGTGAGGCGTGTCCTTGCTGTGAGTGGGTGTGGGTGTCTGTAACTGAAAATGATGCCACAGCCCTTTGTCAGGCACCTCCACAGACCCTCGTGCTCATGGGAAATAGCCTTCCCCCGGCCTCTGGTCTGAGTTTTGCCGAATGCACAGGAGGAGGGCAGCAGTGCGGCCCCGTGGCCCTGGCTCTCCCGCCTCAGTGGACAGGTGCACGGCCGCTCTCCAGCCCCCCAGAGGCCCTGGCCCCCTGAATGTCCTACCCTCTGCAGAATGGTGGTGGCCAGCTCCTCTGCCAACTCTTCCTTGTGGTCCCGCAAGTAGCTGGCCTCGTTCTGCTTGTCCTGCAGAAGGAAGAGAACGGAGGGAGGCCGGGGGGGGGCATGAGGCTCAGGGCCACAGTGGTCCTGGCAGGGGGAAGAGGGCAGCCCTTTCCTCAGCCCAACCACCAGCTCCTGACAGCCGGGTGCCCCCACCCTGAGGATGGGCCTACCAGGCTGTCCCCGTGGCACTCTGCTTTGCAAATAGCGTCCTCGATGGCTTCCTCTGCCACACGCAGGGCGACGGCCAGCGTGTCCATCATGCTGTGTCCTAGGAGGCAGAGAACACGGTCACGGCTGCCTCTCAGCCCTCAGGGTTCAGGACACACTCAGGAGAGCATGCGAGTCCCGTCTCCCCCATCCACCTCAGCGATCGTGGCTTAAAGCAGACACTGGGGCCCTGAACCATAAGCAGGGGTGAGCAGGAGCTCAGAGAGTCGATCCAGCGAGGCGCCGTGCGCTCACGCTGCACACACGGGTCTGTGAAGCCCACACTGGCTGGGTAATTGGTGAGACAGCAGAGGGTCGCCTCCATTCAGCACTGAGAGCTCTTGCAGTGAAATGAGGGCAAGCCCATGTGAGCTTTGAAGTGGAACAGTGGAACTTGTGTGTGCGTGCACCACAGCACTGTGTGGTAGTTACAGGACAACCTGGGGGGTTTTCTTCTGTACCTGAGGGCCCCGGGAGTGAACTCAGATCACCAGGCTTGGCTGCAGGCATCATCAGCTGCTGCGCCCTCTCACCGGTCCTGACGCTCTGCGTTCTCACTAGCGTACATCACTGCACACGAGGTGACGCGTGTGCGATGTGCTTTGATCATGTTTTACACGCCAATGCACCTCACAGGACAGGTCTCACGTTCCCAGCAAACGTGCTGAGTAACTCCCCTGCGCTAGCCTCCAGGCTGTCTCCAGGCACGCCCTGGTGCACAGGCTGAGTCCGTGAACTCGGGCTAGGTGTTCACGGGGGGACAAGTGCATGATGGGGGTCGGGGGACATGTGCGTGACCGGCAAGGCTCTGGGTGCCATTCTGTGATTCTCGGGTGAGGGTGTCGGTATGAACACCAGGCCGGTGAGTTAGAGACTAACTTCACTCAGGAAGCACAGGTTGGCGGCATCTTCCAACCGTAGAGCTGTCATGGCTCGGTCACCGCCCCCACCCCGAGGCCGCCCCTGTCTCCCCGAAGCCACCGCTGGCCAGGCCACCTTACCTTCCGACTGCCTGTAGAAGGTGGAGTCGCTCCCCGACACGCTCCCGTCGATCTCGGGGCTCGGGTCAAACAGTGCCCCGCCTGGAGGGAGAGTCATGCCGTGAGGGGCCCCGGCCAGCAGGCTGGTGGGTCACCCCTGGAACCAGCCTGGCCTGGCCGCCGGGCTGTGCTGCCCGGAGCCTGGCTTGACCCTGCATGGCTGCTTTTAGTGCAGCTGTACCCCAGCTCTCTTCCAGCACCCGCTGCTGCAGCTTGAGTGTGTTTTCTTTCTATGCTCGTGGCGAACTTTAATCCTCAGCCCGGTGTGTCGGAAGTGGGGCTTTACGAGAGGAGGCTAGACCGGAGGACCCCACAACCAGTGGGTCGACGCCGTCCTGGGAGTGGTATCCAGGAGTGGGCTTATTATGCGGACCCCAGTTCAGGTCCCAGCACCCACACTGGGGAGCTCACAACCATCTGTAACTCCTGCTCACGGGATCTGATGGCTTCTCCTAGACTCTGTAGGCACTGCACTTGTGGGCATGCACACACATACCTATACTAGATCAGCACACACACACACACACACACACACACACACACACACACACACACACGGGGAGGGGGAGGCTTCTCCAGCCCCTCAAACATCTAGCCCCAGAGGTTTCCACCTTCCACGTCGACCCGTGCGTTCTGACGTAGCGGCCCGGGCTGGACTAACCCCTCTTTGGAGGAAGCGTGGGGGAGAGGCAGAGTGCTGGGGTGACCACTGGGGAACGTGACATCACTCGGGGCCCCGCACACTCCGGGACCACCAAAGGCCCCAGTGGTCCCAGGGGGTCATGCCTCCATCCTGTCTCCCCAATATCTGCACAGCAGGCACACTTTTCCTTCAGAACGACCGTGGACTTTTTGCAGAGACTTCATCCCTTCTCCCGACAGTGTCAAATAAGGGCGGAGAAAGGCTGCAGGCGAGGAGGGCGACGGGCCACCGTGTCTTGCTCACTCTCGGGGGAAGGCGCAGTCCTTCACGGAGGCTGTTCACGCCTGCACAACTGCCCCATCCTCCTGGCTGTCTGCAGAGGTTGAACACCGAGCAGGTGCGGCCTGCCCTCTGGGCTCTCCAGGACACCAGGCCCTGTGACTTTTCTAGGACGCTGAGTCAGGTGAACAGATGGGTGTAAAGGGGCGTGTGCACACTCTCAGGGTATACACATGGCCTCTCAGCTACTAGTGGAAATGACTTTCCAGTGGTTCGGCACCAGGGGATGATGGGTAAGAGCTGTTCCTAGGGGCTGGGCAGGTGGCTCAGTGGTCAGTGCACTGCCATGCAAGCATGAGGATCCAAGTTCAAATTCCCTCACACGTGCTTCGGAGAGTGGAGGCAGGAGGATTGCTGGGCCTTGCTGGCCACAGACTAGTTCCAGCTCAGTGACAGAGCCCGTGTCCGGGGAATAAGAGAGTGACAGCAGCGAACACGTCTTCCGGCCGTGATCGCTCGTGCACAGGTATGTGTGTGTGCTTGTGTGCGTGCACCTACAGTTTCCTGAACTAGTGCGGCCTTCCGGGCCTGGAGAGGTGACTTGGTGTGATGTGCCCTGAGCCCCAGCACACACAGCTGGGCACGGTGGCACTGGGTTGGGGAGATGACGGTGGGACAGAGACAATCGACTCACCGATCTCCCTGGCCGGCAGCCAGGTGGGGGGTTCCAGGCCCTGGAAGGAGCCTGTCTCAGAAAACACGGGCAAGTCTTGACACCGGCAGCTGACCTGTGGCCTTCCCATGCGGCTGTGCACACGTACACGCATAACCCCCCACGCACATACACACACACATACACAAATATCCCCCACATGCACACGAGAGCACACACACGCACACACCGAAACAGAACGCTGCATTAGAACCTGCCACTCCCTGCCACCTGCCCTCTTTCCAGAACGACCTATCTGAACGGGTGTCTCTGTCCCCTGGGAGAGCCTCCCCCACCCCCGAGAACTGGGCGTGCAAGCCGGGGTCCCCCCCACAGCCGGCGGTGGTCGTACCTAGGACGTCGAAGCAGGCGCCGCTCTCCAGCCGGTGTTTCCTGTAGAGCGTCTTGAGGACCTTGGCGCTGCCGAAGCGCTTGAAGCGGCTCTTCACGTTGCTGTAGAACCATTCCAGGGACTGTGTCCTCAGAAGCCTGTGAGAGCAAAAGCCACGCCTGCGAGTGGGTGACAGGGCCCTGCGGCCCCTGTGCCCCAGCCCTCGGAACCGAGCCCCAGCCCGCAGGCGCCTCACCCGGGAGCCGTCGGCGCAAGCCATCTAGCGGCTGACACTCCCCCTGTATCAGCACCTTTAATCCGGCTGGGAGCAAGGAAAGGAACCGCGAGCCTGCAGAGAACCGCGAGGAGCCTGCAGAAGGCCTTTTCAGTCGGTGTGAAGCGCCGAGGAATTATTCCCGGTGGCGAGGGAGGCGCTATAGACACTGACGGAGTGTCCTTCGTGTTCTCGGGGAGCAGAGCCCAAAGCTCCTCCACTTGAGGAAGATCTTTTGTGACTTTTCTTATCATGAATGTAAAAAAAGGAAAAAGCACATTCCCTTGGAAAATTCAGGAAAAGTATTTCCAGTTTTAAAGGAAGAAAAAAAAATTCTGAATTCAACCAGGGAAGAAGCAGACTCGGGCCCGTGTGGACAGCGCCTTGAAGTCTGGGTGCACAAGCCTGGCCGTGTCGACTGCAGGACAGGCCTTTTGCTTGATTTAGAGTGGAAGCAGCCAGAAGCCCCGTGAAGCAAAGAACTGGGAATAACCCTGAAAGAACCGCATGTTTCCCTCTGAAAAGCCGCCACTTAGGAGCAAAGACCAAGCCCTCCAGCTGGTGTGTGAATGCTTTCCCAGCTTCTGTTTGCACACCGTGGCTGCTGAGCCCCGCGGGTTCTCATTCCAACCCCAACTAGAATCCTAATTCAAACTAGACTCCCACGGTAACCTCAGAAGGCCAGGCCAGGCCGGGGTGACTGGATTCACACAGCGCAGTTGTGAGAAGGTGGGAGCCGAGCATAGAATTCTCTCAGGCCCCGGAGTGTGATGGAGGGATGGAGCAGGGGTCCCCACGTCCCCACTCTAGTAGGACAGGGCACCGTGCAGAAGGACACCCCGATTTCCCTGCCCTGGGGCTGGTGCTGGGGCCACCTGGAGGTCTGGTGGGAATGGGCAGGGCAGGGCAGGACAGGACAGGCTCTGAGCTTCCCAGCTGGAGAGGGTGACCAGTGGCACGGGCGCCATCTAGAGGCCTTGTGTGGAAGCACAACCCCAGCCATCCACCAGCCTCAGCTTTACTGGGTTAAAATTCCAGTTTTAGCAAAATTCTCAGCAGGACATCAAGGCCTGGTGACCAGGGACCTAACAAAATGTACTGGATGACTTTAAAAGTGGAATGATCATCCTGTTTTAAGCTTTGACCATAAGAGCTAGTAACTCGCCTTGCCCAGTCCCATTTTTTTCCACGGAGAAGGAATCAGGCAGAGTAACACACAGCTATGGAGACAAAGAAATTAAAAACCAAGCTCTTGAACGCAGGCACAAAACTTATTAAAGAATGCCACACTTTAGACCCACGCCCAAACGCAAGGCCATCTTCATCACACACAGTGAAGAAAGCAGAGGTCAGTGGAACTGAGGGCAAACTGAAGACTAAACGCTCTCCAGGTTTCTAATGACGGCCGACATTTCTCTGGGTATCAGCTAGCACAGTGCCCCATCCCAGGCGGCCTTTCAGGACCCCGTTATACATTATCAGCATCCCAACGCTTACATCCAAAGCACCTTCTCACAGGTGTAAAGGATGTGAATATAATCATTAGATAAATACTGATGCATTCAAGCCTCACACTGTTGGAAACAAGCCAAAGATACGCATTCTAAGGACAAACATTTCATTTCATTTCCAGACTCCGTTTAATCTTATAGAGAGAAACTGAGTTCAAGGTCCCGGGCCCTTGGGGAGCTGGGACTTCCCGATTGCTGAACAGCCTCTGTTGTAAGCAGACACTGTCTCAGGTGTCTCGGGGCAGCTTCTCCATCTTGCTGTCAGGGTCGACCAGGTTCATGTTCCCAGGTCCAGGAACCAACTTTTGGCCTGACTGATGGGCACTCCTGGCTCAACCCTCATGTCAAAATGTGATTGGACAATGCGCCACCCACCTCGATCCCCTTTGCTTTACGGCTTCGTCCTTTAAACACGCTGTACAAGGTCCCCTCAGGGTCGAAGTTCAGCTCCCGAGTCTGGTCTTCAGCCCTGACTGATCAGGGGCAGCTTGATTACACTATGCTTGTCAGCAGCGTGGACCTGGTGTTTGAGTCATGTAGGATTTAAGTGGAATCCACACATCATGGTTTTTTTTTGTTTTGTTTTTTGTTTTCCTGAAACAGGGCCTTACTGTGCAGCCTAGGCTGACTCTGAACTTGAGATCCTCCTGCCTCCGTCACAGGTGTGCTTGGTCAGGCTTCTCATGTTTCATGCTCACTAAAGAGTGAGTCATCTCAGTGAGCATGTTTCTTAGCGTTTGGTAGTTCTGAATGGCAGCTCATTCTGCCACCCCGGGGCTGGCTGAGTCAGCTTCTGGGCCCTCCCAAGCGTCCCTGCCTCAGTGGGTCTGAGGCAGGCTTGGGAGTATCACTGTGAACCCTTCCCAGGTGAGGGAGGTTGCTGGTCCAAGGACTGCATTTTGAGGGATTCTGAGCTAGCAGACAGATGGACAGGTCCCAGGGAGCGCAGGAGGTGACAATGTGGCTGATTCGGAGCTGTGGAAATGAGCAAGCTGACTGTCATTCAGGCGTATCTGTCACTCGAATGTTTGCAAAGGAAGATTCCCACATCCCTGACAAGAGGAAAGCCCCAAGGCCCCAAGTCAAGAGATCTACAGACTCCGGGTGGAAAAGAACAGCTTGCTTGCTGGGAGCCCTGAGCGTGTCGCCGAGAACCTGCACACACACGTGGCTGGGAGGCTTGGAGTGCCGTGCTCCGTTGAGAGGTGACAGCTGCTGTTAATGTGAAGCAGCTTGCTGAGGTGAAGAAGTGGGAGCCGACAAGGAGCAAGAGGGGACCAGCTTCTCGGCAGTGTAGGATTAACTGTTTAGCTCAAACAGCTCCACAGGAGGGGCTTCATCCGTCTCCATTTCCCGGGGGACACGCCATGCATTCCACAGTCTCTGTATGAGGGTGCTGGTGGGAGGTGGAACCAGGATTTGGGCCCCACGGTGGGATCCGGAGCCTGCACCCCCAGCCCTGGCACTGACTGACTCTTCTGTACTTGGAATTGAAGAGAGAACAGCAGCGGGCCAGACAGAGGTGTGCGGCTCATTCAGAGTCAAAGAGGAGACCACACAGCACCCAGAAGGATGCCAGCCAAGCGGTCACCTGGAGGGCACAGGCTGCCAAGCCCGACACCTGAGCTCAGGCTCCAGAACCTTGGGAACCACGTCTCAGGACCAGCCAGCTTTGAGAATGGGATAAACACTGACATTACAGAGCCCAAAGAGGTAGAGGAACGGAATGGAGCAGAGAACCCGGAACTGGACCCACCTGTTCCCCGCAGCCCACCCAGTCTAACAGAGGCCTCAGAAACACATGCCAGAGAAAGGGCAGTCCTGGGCAGCCACACGGGCAAGACTGCCGTGAAGCCCTCGTCTCTCAGCCCACGAAACACCACCTGACACATAAGCACAACCTGAGACAGCAAACATACCAAAGAGCAGAGGAGCCAGCTCAAGACAGTGTAAGGCAGGCAATGATCTTCAGATTAGGTCCCCCAAATGCACGCGACAGACAAAAATAGATCCATAGAATTAAAGAGAGACACCGTGCACAGCAAAGACAACGACCTGATGGCAGGAGACTGCCATCAACTGTTCACCCCACACGGCCGTGAGGCCCAGAGTGTCCAGGAACAAAACCAACAACAAACAAATAACAAAAACCAACCCCCAAAAATGTAAGCAAAAAAATGGGCAATTTTTTTAAAAAGAAGATTCTATAAAAATGCCCAAAAAGTGTATGAAAAAGCTCCCAACAGCACTTGATAGCAAAGAAAGGCAAAGCAAAGCCATGGCTGGAAATGCTTTCACCCAGGTTAGAATGGTTACAATAAAATCACTGGCCTGGCAGGGCGGCTTGGCGGGGAAAGGTGCTGGCTGCCTTGACCAGAGGTCAGTCCCCAGAGCCCACACGGCGGGAGGAGAGAGCCGAGTCCACAAAGTTGTCCCCGACCTCCACATGCTTATAAAAACATGCACCGATTTGCCCACAATTACATGAACAAAACGAAAAGACGAAAAATACAGAGGAGAACTCAGATTCAGGGGATCCTTATAGACAAGAGTATAAATTAATACAGATGTCATAGGGTAGAGTGCAGAGGCCCCCCAGAACTGTGGACAGAATTCCAAGAGGTGTGGAGATCCCCCAGAACCGTGGACAGAATCCCATGAGGTGCGGAAACCCCCAGAACTGTGGATAGAATCCCACAAGGTGCGGAGAGCCCAGGGCGTCACACACCCAGTGTTTCAGACGGCGCCTGCACGCCTGTGCTTACTGCAGCCATCGTAGTCGAGACTCGGCATGCAGTGAGATGTCAACCAGCGCGTGGACACAGAAAGGGAATTGGGAATTTGCACGAAGCTGAAGGCCTGCCATCTGCAGCAACGCCAACTGAACTGGAGGGCGTGGCACCAAGGGACACAAGCCAGACACGGAAAGACAAACACCGCAGGGTCCCACTCACGTGGAAATGAAAGCTGGTTTCAAAGATGCGGGAGAGAACTGAGGGGATGGGGGTTAAGAGGTGGAGGTGGGGCAGACGGCTTGTGTAACACACCCAGGTACACAGGAGTGGCAAGATGGTCAGGTGGCTCAGCACGCATGCACTTTGGGAAGAGCCACAGAGATGAGGGGTTTTGTTGTGGGTGTGAAAGGCCTGCCCACCATTCACAGGCAGCTGGAAAGCCCCACTGACCACTTGTGAGGTCTCTGCTGTCATCTTTCCATCTGTGCGAACCTCTGCACACTGGTACAGCGATGTCGTTTTAATTTGTGTTTACCATGAGGGGGGCAAAGGCCATTTACTCTGTTGAGGGGACAGCTGGGGCACTGGAGAGATGACTCCTCTCTTTCCAGGTGGTGCTCGCTGCCTTGCAAAGAACC